GGGGGGGGGGGGGGGGGAGGTGGGGTGTGCAAACTTCTGCAGATATCTGATACGATTCTCAAACACCAAACAGAAAACACACTCAAGCTCATGCAGACGTGCACACACTGTCCCACTCCACTCCCACCCCGGCCCGAGAGTGGCGACGGCGCAGCCGCATGTATCGTTGGGTATTAACAGATCAGCACAGAGCAGCAGCCGCCCTGCTTTATAGTCTTTTCCTGAGGTAGTGCTTCAGAAGGCTGCTGCAGAGCAGGATAAATGCACAGAAATCCCTCGGGCCCAGCGCCTCCTCAGCTCCACTCAGCTCTCTTTTTGCTGCCCCCTCCTCCTCCTCCTTTCCACGCTTATCCCCACTTTCCTCCCATCCCTCATTATTTCTACCCCCCCCCCCCTCTTTTTCCCCTCAGTATCCCAATGCTTTCTGTCCTATCTGTCCCCCTGCTTCCCTCTGGCCGTTCACATAATTCTCCTCTCTGCGTCTCTCCTTATCCTTCTCCACTCCCATTTCGTGTCCATCCTTCTCTGCATCTTTTACCCTCATCTCGCTGTCTTCCTCTCGACTTCAGTAATGAACGAAACGTGCAGCCCACCTTAGTCAATTGGTGAGTAAAGAACTGATAGTTACGTGTGGAAACCTCAGTGCTGTCAACGCAGGCTGAGCTCTTTCATTGGGCCTATCAACCCCTGGACGCTCGTCTCAGTGTCTTTGTTTCCAGAGAGACGCTGCGCTCCACAATCCTCATCCATCACGTCTGAATTGAATTCTGAGGAAACTGGTTCATGTGCATTTAGGTCTAAAGTACCCACTTGATTGGAGATGTTAACAGTTCTACATTTAGAATGGATTAAAACCTCATGAACAAACAAGTCAACTCCGCTCTGTGATGCATTTAGCAAGAAGAAGTTTGGTAGAATAATTAGTCCCAAAATGTCTAACTGGTTTTGAAGATTCAAAACAACTCAGGCAAGTTCTCTAAGTCCGCATAATGACGGTCATAGCCATGTCCGATATTGGGTGATTTTCTTATTGGACATCAAAGCTGCTCTGGACGGAGTCCCCGCACGTCAGGGGTGACTGCATTTAATTGAAATACTAAACCATAACAAGAATGCTTCTGAGTTAACTCAATTATCGGTGTACGAAAATAATACACAAATCACATTATGTTTTGTGAATTCTCAGAGGAAGCGACTTGAAAAGTGCATCAAAGCTTCTGTTTCGTACAAATATTGACTTTTTAGAAACGGGAAATTGACAGTTACCCCACAATCTCCCCATCTGACATTTCACTGTCAGTCAGTCAGTCACTCGGGATTCCACAATTCAAAGCCACCGAGAGTCTTTTACAGTAAACATATTGCATGTCTAACCAGACATGCTATGAGTCCATAATATGCAGTTTTAAAAAAAATTCAGCTGTTCATTGTAAGAGTAAAACATTTGTGA